TTTCCAGATGGGATTCCATCTGGAAACTCGATTTTTAAAAACTGTTTATTTTCATCTTTACATCTTTACATCTTTTCATCTTTACATCCCATCCCATCTTTAAATCCCATCTGGAAACTCGATTTTTAAAAATTCTTTATTTTCATCTTTACATGCTCACTTTGGAGGCTGGTTGGCTGCATGTGATGCTTTAATGCATTTGATGCTCTAATGTGACAGCGTGATGCTGTTAGTGAGCTTCTATGCGCTAGCTGATGTTTGGCTGTGTAGTTGCGTGATGCGGTTCCAGTCCGTACCCACTAATTGACCCTCGCTCACCATAGAGTCTCTTGTAGCTCAGTGGTTAGAGCATCCGACTAGATCACGGAGGGTCGTGGGTTCAAATCCCGTCTGGAAACTCGATTTTTAAAAATTGTTTATTTTCATCTTTAAATAAAATCCTAATAAATATATCTTGTAACGAAATAAATACTGAATTCAATTATTAAGCGTGAAAATTATAAAAATTGCATTAAGTCGACTTGTCTAATGGACCTCTTAAAAGACTTAAAATTCGTTATATTTCTAAGCCTGTTCGGAAGTGAATTCCAGAGTTTCGGACCAATATAACGGACTGAGTTCAAGCCCTATGTAGTAGACTTTGGCTTGGGTAGCGAGAGAATATAGTCACCTCTTAAATTATGCTTAACGTTCTTCCTATGAACTATCAGGTCTTGTGTACTTTTGGGCGCCAAAGAACTGTGAACGGCGTTGAAAATAGACAACATAATTTTAATTAATCTTTGTTGTTTTTAAAGATGAGAGGCCTAATGCGTTAAGAAGTTCTGGATAGCTCGTGTACTTACCCCGGGAAAAAAAAAAAAAAAACCTAATCTCGCGCTCGTTTATCCTTTCCAATTTATCTGCGGCACTTTTGCTACAGAAATAGCACTTAAGCGCGATGACGTCAAAACAATTTCTCGCAGCGTCAAACCGAGGCTTGGTGGTGATAGCTTCGCGTATTTTGTTGATGTTTAGAGAAAGAATCAATTCCCCTGGTCTGTTTTTTGCACTTTTTGTTCGAAATGCCTCAATGGTGTATTGCCTAGGGCTGTACAAACTCTTCAGACATGAAAATCAAAAAGTCCTGGCATCGCTTACCGCAGGAGAACAAAGAACTGCTTTCGAAATGGCTATGTGGCGACCACTTTGAGGCCGACTGTTTTAGGAAAATCCCGCGTTCCTTGCTTGTCAACTTTAAACCAGGGTGTATTCCCACAAAGTTTTGCTTTGTGCAAGAAAAAAACACCGAGGAAACCTCCATCAGAGCGAAAAT